GACTTACTATCAAGGAGATGACGGTGTGTGAGCCGAGACGAGCCCAGCACATTGCGAAGCTAATCCAAACGATAGGCGATACGTTAGTTAGGGATGCTAGTAGAGGAGGGTGGGGGGGAAGTGGGGGCTTACCCTTTATACAGGGCTAGGGGGCCTTCGTTGGCGACGAGTTTGGCGAGGCAGTCAAAGGCGTTTTTGAACTCGCGCTTCTTGTCCTGCATCAACCTCACCTTGACCGTGTCGAAGGGGGCGCTTGTGACGGAGCATGCCAAGCCGGCTACCATGGATGCGGAAAAGTGGAGTGCAAAGCCTTCGTCCAGAACGTTGTTGCGCTTGAGCACGGTTTTCACTTGGTCGTACGAGGCGATTTGGGAGCTGGTCAACACGGCCGCACGCACGATCGTGGGTCCTACACCGCGATACAGACTCTTGATCCCGCCGACGAAGCCGGTGCCTTCGCGATAGACGTGGGAGAAGGCCACGAAGGTGTTGCTGTACGGAGGGCGGCCTGTGGGTCGAATGGCCTGCATTCGAACCTTGACAAGATCCGTGGGACAGGCGAAGGCACTTCCGATCGCACCGCTGGAAACACCACTAAGCGCCTTGAGTGCAAAGCTGCTATCGCTCACCCCCAGCGCGGAAGAGTAGCCGTCCTTGAAGGTTTCGTATAGCCCGAAGCGGACGGTGCTGTAGGTGAGTTCGCGCAGACACGAGGCGGTAACCCCGTTCCACAATGCCAGCACGCCTTCGCGACGAACCATCCCGCGTGCAACGGCGAGAAACCCAGACCGAGACGTATCCAGCTGCTGGCGCACCTTGACGATGTCCGCCGGATTCGTACATGCCGCCGAAATCGCATTGCCCAACCCCGCCGATGCGAACGTAGCCGCCAGAGTGTACGTGGGCGAGTGCGCCACGTGCAAAGGGGGGTTGTGCTGCGGATGCTCCGCGGATGCGATCGCTTGATCGCGCGACAGCGCCGAGGAAGGCGTACTGCGAGACATGATCCTAAGCTCGCTGTGAGATGCAGAGGCGAAGACTGGTGAAGAGCAAAGTTGGAGCTAAGGCGCAAGGAGGTGGGGGTGGACAGTGCTCGAGCGGGGGATTACAGATTCGGCTTTTTGCCCGGCGAATCCGACGCAGCTTGGCCCGAAACGCGGAGAACCCCGCGTGGAAATTAATCTGACAGTGAGAGCAGGAAATTCGACTTTTTCGCATAGATGTTGCGCCGCATTCAGCCTCACATTAAAGACGCGTCCAGTATCGGGCGACTCTATCAGTGGTGATCCCGATGAGGTCCAGAGAAGACCTCGGCCGAGCTTTTCGTAGTGCGCAAATTGATGCACGTGATGCCCACCCGTCCGCACAGAAACAGCTCTAGTGCCTTAAAGTGGCGGCCCTGCGAGTTGGCGCAGCAGCGTCACGGCAACATGGCCGTCCAAAGCCAGTTGTGTGGCTCAACCCGCAGAGTGCAGCCTCAGCCCGCCTAGGCTGCAGGGTCGACAGCACTGTGGGAAGCGCAGCCAGAGTCCGAGGCCCGGCGCTACATTCGAGCTCGCGATCAAGCACTCCTTCCTCCCGACCCATCGTCAAGTTATCCATTTCTCGATATCATCACATAGTCACAATGGCTTCCTCGTAAGTTTCTCAGCCGCTCAATCACCATCGCCAACGCAGCAACACGCCTCCTAACGCTCTCTACCCTCTCTCGCGCTCGTGCAACCAATCGAACCCGCATATTCCGACAATGAACAGCGATCTTGCCGCCACTTACGCCGCCCTCATCCTCGCCGACGAGGGCCTCGAGATCACCGTACGTATTTTCGCAACACCAGCACAAACATGGCAACGCATGGCAATCATGCGATCGACAGCACGCAGCAGCAGCAGCAGCAGCAGCAGCAACGGAAGCGGCAGAAGTAGTAAAGGCGCAGATGGACATTCGGGACAGCATAGATGGGATGGACCTTTCTGCAGTGTTCATGGCAACATCGACAATCGCAGCAGGATTGGAGATGGGATCGGGAGATCAACAAGTCGCAGTCGCTCAAGGAAGGATGGTATCATGTTGTGAATCGAAGCATGCACCGCCACTTGTCGCACCAGCAAAGCATCAGCATCCGACGTTCGCAGCAACAGTCGCTTCTGGTCCGCTGCGTATGACGCCGACCGCAGCAATGTCGACGACAACTAGCGGATTTCAACGTGTCTTCGTTAGTCACCCGCCCAAAGCAGCACTCGGCACCGCGTGATCATGCCACATCCGACATGGCAGCATGCTGCATACTCCTCAGTATCGACCCATTCTCTCGATGACGTCCTCGCCGTTCTGCACCTCCGGGCATCACCAACATCAGCCTTGATCTCGCAGGCCGAGGCAGATCCGTGGATGCGCTTGCGACATTGCGCAATCCAGCCACGTCGCCCGCCATTCCCTAGCCATCCGCCTTCTCGACCAGCCCGCCGTCTTGCGCACGTTTCGACTCTACGCCGCTCTCGCCCCGCTGCTGCGCGCCGCATGCCTGCCATTGCCTGCATCTTTTCCGCATCACAACACGATTGCTAACCATTTTCCCATTCCCACAAACAGTCCGAGAAGATCGTCCAGCTGACCACCGCTGCCGGTGCGCCCGTTGAGCCCATCTGGGCCACTCTCATGGCCAAGGCGCTCGAGGGCAAGGACGTCAAGGAGCTGCTCACCAACGTCGGTGCCGGCGGTGCCTCGGTCGCCGTCGCTGCCCCCGCCGGTGGTGCCGCCGCTGCCGGTGGTGCCGCCGAGGAGGCCAAGGAGGACAAGAAGGAGGAGGAGAAGGAGGAGTCCGACGACGACATGGGCTTCGGTCTCTTTGACTAAACGTCCTTCCCTCCCGCCCTTACCTCCCCCCCGCAAGACCCTCGCTTTCGCTGTATCATCAGATCACAAAAAGTTCACCCCCCTTTCGGTGTTGTAAACCCGGAAACTGTGTGTTGAGGCGGTTCTACGCTGCGCTCACGCTCGCACCGCTGATGCACTAATCTCAAAAAAACCTCACTTTCGATCTCGATCTCGATACGCTGCTGTGGGCCTTTGTGTGTCGGATTTGAGAGGATGCGCAAGGCGCAGGTGGACGACACTTGAAGCAATGATGGGGTTGTGAGAGCTCGGGATGGATGTTGGTTGTGGGAGTGAGGGTGGCGATGTTGAGAGGACGCTGAGTCGGCACGAGTGCTCGCCATGTCGTGTGGCTCCGGCCATCGATGCGACCCAGCAAGCTTTGGCAGGGCGACCCAAGTTGCGTTAGCGCCGACGCGGCGTTGCTCGCCTCGACACTTTGCAGCATAAGGGAGCAAAGCGTGCTGTGACGATGTCGGCAGAAGCAGTGCGACATAACGCGTGCAAGGGCGGAGCTGACATCTACCAGCGCGTCCGAACAAACGCAATGCTTTCCGCCCATTCCGGATCACCAACGCAAACTGTGGCGCCCACCACGCCGACTTGGTGGAAAGCGTGGTGGTGGCTGGAAAGATGCGCTCGTGTGCCACCCCGACGCAGCGCACACTTTGCACGTGTGTCGAGCAAGGACGTCACCCGACCTCCTTCCCACCAACTCCCTGAGTAGCCCGCCACAGATCGCGAGCACTCGTTGCCACGCGGCGTGGTGCAAACCTGCGGCATGACAGTGGCGGTTGCTGTGACTCGAAGGCAGACGCAGCGCCTTGGCTTTGCGCGCTCGACGTGCAGACCTGCACCGTTGCATCCCCCAGCGCACAGGCGTCAAGACCCGCGCGTACAAGCTCACCCCTCACTCCCTCAAAGTCGGTTGATCCCGCACGACCTTAGGCACGGGTATACACTTGCTATATGTCGCGCTGCTACTCGCTACGCGGCTGCGCAGCTACGCGGCTCTACGTTGAAACAGAAAGCACCCCTCGTAGCCGTACATGTTATCGGGCGTAAATGTGTCCCTCCATCGCCCCACCAGCTTCCCACCCGCTACAGCATAACCGCGGTACAGCCACTTGCCGCGCCCATCGGGACGGTACTCTTTCGTCATGATCAGCATACCGTCCCAACTGCGAACCCTTCCGCGAACCACGAATCGGCCCCATGCAGAGTGGCCCTAAAACAACAAACAAGAGAGAGACAAGGATAGAGAGTCAGTGGTTTGGGATGGATAGAGGATGGGGAGTGTGAAACTTACCGTGCCCGATAGAAGGATCTCGTAGCGTTCGCGCTGGTCGTCGTCGGGAAACGAAGGGTACTGATGCCAGTCATGCGGCAGTGCCTTGCCCTTGCCCTTGCCCCCCGCCGCCTGTGCATCGACAGGATCCGAACTGTAGCCCGCAGCGAGGATGCTGCCCTTGCCACCCTCGACCTCGCCCGGCGCCAAGCGCACGATGCGCTCCTTGATCTTCCAGATCTGCGGCTGCTCGCCAAACGGCCCGTCGTACAGACTGCGCATGCGCCCCGCCAGCATCTCGCGATACGAGTCGAAGTCGAAAAAGCTAAACCTTCCCTCCCAAATCCCCTCAAACATTCCCTGGAAGAACAGAGGCGGCAATCCGGGTGAACTGCGCGCATCGAGACAAGAAAGCAGACGAGACACGTCGCGGTCGTGGTCGAGCGAGCATAGCGACAGAGGCGGACGCGTGGATGTGGGTCGTCGAACCGCCGGCTCGGATGCCGGATCGTCGGGGTCGGAAAGCGCTGCCAGCTCAAGAACCGCAGGATCCTTTTCGACCTTCATGAAGAAGCTGAAACATGCGCCCTGCGCCAGGATGGGTGCGGCAATGCGAAGGGTCCCGCCCACATGCTCCACCGCGCAGCTGCGATCGCGTGGCGTCAAGTCCGCAAGAAAAGGGTTGGTGGGTGTAGACGAGCTTGCCGCTTCCGCCGCCGCCGCCGCCGCCGCCGCCGCGACGCTGCTGTTGGAGACAGGCAGATTGCGAAGCGTCCAGGGAGCCATAAAGGCGTCGAACTTGTGTGCGGCAAACACGAAGGGTCGCAATACAAACAGTCGCTCCGCGGCTTCTGTCCTGGGTTCGGACGCCAGCTGCTCCGGATCGGTGAGCAGATACACGAGGTGCAGAGCGAGCGCCTTGTGCACCGCATCCGAGGGATAGCCCGGTTGGATGGCGCCATCGAGCATCTCGGAGGCGTGGTGGAGAGCCAAGAAGCTGTGAAGCTGCGCCCAGCACAGCTGCTCGTAGTTGAGGCCGTCGTTTTCGAGCATCATGAGGTAGGCGAGCCAGAGCATCTCGTCCAGCGATTGCTCGCTCTCGTCCAACCCGGGTGCGTCGTCGGTGCGTAGGGCGGAAGAGGTGACGCACGCGCGCATGCGCTTGAGCAGCACACACCGCCGACGCAGCTCGTTGGCCAGGCTAAGCGAAGACAGCGCCGACTTGCCAAACCGACGCCCAATCGCGGCCGTGTCGAACTTGGACCGAAACACGCGCGCGTACAGACGCGGATTGGCGGCGAGGTTGAGCAGCGAGTGCAGATGCTTGCACACGAGCTGCAGCGCATGCAACTCGGTCGGCGGCGTGACCACCTTCGAAGGGCGCGTGGACGAGTCGTACAGAAAGCTGCATGGTGCGGATGTGGATGATGATGCGGGGTTGAAGTCTGGAAGCGCAGCGTAACCCGCGATGCTGTCGAGGATCTCTGGTGGCAGGCATAACAGTCCCACCCGCGGCGTGGACTCCATGGTGGTAGCAACACCCAAAGGCAGCCGGGTCGTGGTGTTGGAGGAGATGGTGGTGGTGGTGAAGAGTTGTGTGCGCACTGACGTGGAGGTGGGGCACAAAGAAAGGCCGCCACCCCTACTCGCGCGCCTGATCCAAGCGGCCATTTTTCCGGCAACTGTCGAAATTCACATAGCCGGGCCGCAGCACTTCACTCCCACTCCCACGCCATCCTCGCTCGAACCAGGCGTGCACAGAGAGAGCAAGCCTTTGAGATACATCCACGTATGGCATTGCATTGCAGGTGAAATCCGTCTCCGGGGTTGATAATGGCTAACCCGCGTGCGCCACCACCTCGGTCTTTACACGGCTCTTGCCCTTGGCGAGCGCATCGACGGTATGCTTGAGCTGCTCCGGCAGCGCAAACTCCTCAAACTCGCCCTCCTCGCCGCCCTGGACGGGCAGGCTGACGTTGATGGCGCTGCACTTGGCGGCGATGATCTCGCTGTCGAGCGACTGGTCCGACAGATAGATCTGGCCGCTGTCGCACGAATCCAGCAAAATCGTCGGTGCCCGGCCGGTGATCTGCACCGCAAACGACGGCGAACCGGTGACCTCGAGCGACGAAACCAACGTATCCACCAGAATCGAAGTCTTGGTGCAGTTGGTCATCTGCACCGCGTTGATCTTGCCCTTGATCTGCACGATGCTGTTCTTGCAGTTGAAGATGTTGACGGTCTGGTTGAGCTCGGTGTTGTCAATGACGATGGAGCGGTTGTCGTCGTGGTGCTCGATCGTCCACTTGTTGCCCTCCAGCTGCGTCTTGGGCGGCTTCTTGGCTTTGAGCTGCGCCGGTTTGGCCGCCAGCTTGGGAGGCGCCATTTTGGTAGCTGCAGGTGCGGGCGCGGGCGCAGCGCTGGCGCGAAGCTCGGGATTCTTGTGCGTCATTTGGCTCGCGTCAACCTTTTTGAGGCCCTTGGTGATGTTTTCGCCCTGGTTCAGCTGCCCAAACACCGCGTCCATACCTCCCGCTGCTGCTGCTCCCGTAGAAGCGTCGAAGGCAGGAGGCGGGGGAGGCGGCGGTGGCGGTGCACCTCCCGTCGCAGCGCCTCGTGCTGCAGACGACTTGAACGCCGCAGCATCGCCTCCGTTGGGGTTCCACACGAGGCCGGTCGTGTGCGTCTTGAGCACGTACCCCTTGAGCGCCTCGAGGAGCTTGATAAACGAGCGGCTCCACTCGACGTGGGTCTTGTCCGAGTCCTTGTAGTCCTTGATGACGCGGTTTGCGTAGAACTGCGCGCTGTCCTTCATCTCGCCCACGTAGGGAGCGGGTTTGGGCTCGACGGCGACCCAGCCGACGGCGGGGATGCCCTCGCTGACGGTGCTGAGGTGGTTGAAGTGCTGCTTGTCGCCGCGGTTCTTTTCGCGCATGTCGATGACCTGGGTGAGCGCAGCCTGGAGCGGCTTGAGCAGCTCGGCAAACACGGGCGAGGCGGCGCCACCGGCGGGCTTCTGACTGGATGCGGCGAGCAGGACGAGCTGGCGCTGCGCTTCAAAGGTCTTGAGCACGGCGGCGGCCTGGTCGTTGACAATGCCGCCGATCTTGGCGCTGAGCTGCTGGAACTCCTGCAGCGGTTCCTCGAGCTGTTCGTCGAATGCTTTCACGGCTGGAGGATCGTCCTTGGGCTGCTCGACAGCAGCAGCAGCAGGAGGCGGCGGAGGAGGTGGAGGCGGGATGGCCGAAGCAGATGGCGCAGTGGCGGCTGCCGCAGCCGTGGCATCCCTTGTTGCAGCAGCACCTGATGACTGGTGCAGCGCAATGTCCTCGAGCCGCGAGGTGGCAGCCTCGAGCCTGTTGTCAGACAGGGCAGGTGGTACAGAGGTCAGAGGATGCAACAGGGCCGAGCGAGTGTGGCATGCGAGAGCTTACCTCTTGATGAGCGTGCCCAGATTGCCGATGCCTGGAGCTGACATTGTGTATGATGGCGATGGATGGTTAGGTGGTGGTGGAGGGAGGGAGGGAGGGAGGGAGGGAGAGAGGAAGATCGACTCCGCTGCGTGATGGATCGGAGGGCTGACAGGGGGTTCCTCCCGCACAGGCCATCTCCAGTGCAGCTCCACAGCCCAGTCGAATTTCGCATTAATTTCTCCAAACAAGTCAGCACAGCTCAGCACAGCGCGATATTCGTGCAACACCAGCTCTCGAATGCAAGGATTGGTATAATTCGAAGCTGAGCATCGACGTCGGCACAAGTACAGGAAAGTGAAGCCGGAGTGCATGGGGGAAGAGGCAGAGGGAAAGGAAAAGGAAAGGGAAAAGGAAGGGAAAGAGGGGTATCCTGGATGCGAGTCTCAGTCGTCGCGGCTCTTGAGTGCGACGGCCGCCTGGATTTCGCGCAGCTGGCCTGTGACGTCGCCCTTCATCTTGCTGAGCAGGACGACAAAGCTGAGCATGTCTTCGTCCATGCGCGAGCGCTGCAGACTCCACTCCTCCTCCTTGTGCTCGGCGCTGAGCTGCAGGCTGGTCAGGCGCGACTCGGCCTGCTGCAGATGCACGCTGCCCGACGCCTCGGTCTCGTAGGTGGATCGTTCCAGCTTGGACTCGTCGGCCTTGTATCGCTCCTGCACCGTCTTGCAGCTCTTTTCGTACTCGGCCGCCTGCCTCGCCAGCGCATCGCACCGCTCGCGATCCGAGCCCAGCTGCGCCTCCTGCGCCGCCACCGCCTCCTGCAGCTTCTCGTACTCCTCCTGCATCGTGAGTCGCTTCTTGGACGCCTGGCGATACTGGTCCGCCTCGTGCGATCGCAGCACCTCGATCTGTCGTCGGAAGCTGCCCTTGATGTCGACGCCCGCCTGCAGCATGGTGCTTGGATTCGACGGCGTAAGCTCCAGCTCCTCCACCACACCGCCCGACGCCAGCTGGAAGGGGAGCAGCGCAATGGAGCGCGCCAGCGGGTTGAACTTGGAGATGCGATCCTCGGTGTCGGCCTGCTTCTTGGCGATGGCGATCTCGAGCGACCATCCGTCGCCGGCGGCCTTCTTGTTCTGCTCGCCCAGCACCTCCAGACGCTTGCTGAGCCGGTTGCGTTCGGCGAGCATGCGTTCGTACTCTTCGGCTGACATCTCCTGCGCGTTGACCTGCTGCTGCAGATCGAGGCGGCGCTTGTTCTTGTCGTCGATCTCCTTTTCGGTCAGGGCGATCTCCTTGATGAGGCGCTCGATCGCCTTTTTGGTCTTGTCGAGCTTGGGCACGAGCACCTCGTCGTAGTACTTGTGGAACTTCGAAATGTCCTTGGTGAGCATGTCGTTTTCGCTGCGCTCCACCTTGAGCGGCGAGTCGTTGTTGAGGTAGTCGGCGAGCTCGGCCTCGAGGCGCGCGTGGTCCTGCTGCAGGTCGCGCAGCTCGCGCTCGATGGCGGCGTTTTTCTGCTCGAAGCGCACGCCGAGCTTGGCGTGCTCCTCCGGGTAGGTGTCTTCGTTCTGCCAGAAGCGGTCGTAGCAGTCCCAGAGGTAGGGGAAGAAGAGCGACTGGAGGTCGTCGATCTCGTCCGGACGCGAGCGTGGACCGGTGCCGATGGTCTCGGCCTGATTGCCCAGGTTGACCATCCACTCGAGCATGGCGAGGCAGTAGGGCCAGTGGCTCTGGCTGCCTGCGGCGGTGAGTTTGGTCTTGCTGAGTTCGTCGGCGGCGGGATACTTGATCTCCTTCATGAGCGTCAGCACCTCGTCCTCGAATTTCTTGCCGTCTGCGCCCATCTGGAAGTTGGTGTCGATGCAGGTGGCGTAGATGTGCTTGAACATGCCGACAAAGGCGGACTGGGTGGGTTCGTGGACGCCCTTGTTGACGTCCCATCCGACCATGGTGAATCCGGTGCGTTCGAGATGCTCCTTGACGGTGAGGCCCATGCGCGTCTTGTAGTGCTTGTCCTTGATGGGCCTTGTCTCGCGCACGCCCGATCCGCCGGTGTTGCCGATGTTGCCCGGGGCGATGGAGAGCCTGCCGACCACGGATCGTCGCGAGTTTGGGGTGGCAGGGGTGGTGACGGCGACGCTTTGTCGACCAGCGGAAGCGACGCTCTGTCGTCCTGCGTACATGCCCGAGTCGGCTCTGCGGGCGCTGTGGGATGCCGAGTGTACCGCCGTGGAGCCGATGGGCTGCTGGGTGGACTGGAGCAGCGAGTCTCTGGTGGATGCGGCTGCTGTGGTGGTGGTTATTGTTGCTGCTGTTGCGCTGACGTTGCGGATGGGGTTGGACTGCTGCGGAATCATGGAAGCGCGCGGCTGATACGTCTTTGCTGATTTGACGGCGGACGAAGGCACGGGGAGGGTGGAAGCGATGTGGCCGTTGTTCTGGTTGGCGTCGATGGCGGCGAGCGTCGAACGCCGCGTGCTTGTGGTTGTGCTCGTCATGGCGAGTGAGAGGCGGCGTGATAGCCTTGCTCGGCCTCGTGTGTGTCGGGTGAGTGGAAGCGTAGGATTGTGCGTATGCGTGCTTCGTGTTCGCGTGCGGTATGATGATGGTGGTGGTGGTGATGGTGGTGGTGGGGTGGATGCAGCACACCAACACTGTTGAACCACTCGTCTAGTCGGCCTCACCGAAAAACACGCGACGCGAGCGCTTCTCCACGACCTAACATGATCACGTGATTGCAATCCTCGAAAATCCGAATTCCTGCATGTCAGATCGCTGTCCGGCTGTGGAGGTTTGGGTTTTTTGGAGGGCTGCATCGAGGTGCATCCGAAGAGCAAAACGCGAAGCTCAGGCACAGCCCCACACTCTTCACTCTTGTCCCTTCAACCGGAAAGCTGCAGCGATGCGCGGCCTTGGACGGCTTGTGCGCCCCTCGAAGGCCACACCGGCCAACGACTGCACATCGCATGATTCTCACGCTTCGCTCCCCTCCGCCCACCACCACCATCCTCCCCCTCCTCCCCCTCCTCCCCCTCCTCCCCCTCGCCATGCCACCTTCACTCACCCACTCACCCGTCACGGGCGACGAGGTGCCCGACTACTACATCCACGCCTCCGACGCCTTCTTCCGCGACACCAAGGGCCGCGCACTCCTCCTAAGAGGCGTCAACCTTTCCGGCCAGAACAAGTCGCCCATCGGTCAACCCTCCCAAAAACTCCAAGGCTTTTGGGAATCAGCAGAGTCCGGCGGCGAAAGCTTCGTAGGTCAGCCGCTCAACCTCCACGATGGCTCCGCAGACGTCCACCTCGCCCGTCTCCGCTCGTGCGGATTCAACTGCCTCCGCTACGTCTTCACCTGGGAGGCCATCGAGCATTCCGGTCCAGCCAAGTACGACACCCAGTTCCTCGACTACACCGTCCAGGTCCTTCGCAAGGTCAAGCAGTATGGATTCCGAGTATTCATGGATCCGCATCAGGACCTCTTTTCGCGATTCACCGGCGGTTCAGGCGCTCCCTACTGGGCCCTCGTTGCTTGCGGCATGAACCCGCGCAACTTTACTGCCACCCAGGCCGCATTCATCCAGGCAGAGTGGCCAAATCCCGCCGACCCAAACCCAAGCAGCTTCCCCGACATGCTCTGGGCCACCAACTACACTCGCTTGGCAGCCGCCACCCTCTCCGTCCTCTTCTTTGCGGGCAAGCATTTCGCGCCACGCTGCATCATCGACGGCCAAAACATCCAGGACTGGCTCCAGTCCCACTTTCTCAACGCATGCAAACAGCTCCTCAATCGCATCGTAGACGCCGGCGACCTCGTAGACGAATGCGTCATCGGCTGGGACAGCGTCAACGAGCCAAACCAGACCTACATCAGCCTCTCCAGCATCTCCTCCATCCCCAAACACTGGCAACTCAAAAAGGGCCCCGTACCCACCCCCATACAGAGCTTCCGTCTCGGCGCAGGCCAAGCTCAAACACTCGAGAACTGGACCTTCGGCGCCATGGGTCCAAAGCGCTCCGGCTCCGTCACCCTAGACCCCAAAGGCACCCTCGCCTGGCTCACAGAAGAAGAGGATCGCACACAAGGCGGATCCAAGTGGGGATGGAAACGCGACGACGCCTGGCCCCTCGGTCAGTGTCTCTGGGCTGCCCACGGCGTCTGGGACGAGGCGACGGGCGAAGTCCTCAACGACGCCTACTTCCAGAACTACCAAGGCCCGGCTGGCGAGCGCACCGCCGAATTCGCAGAAGACTACTGGCTCCCGCACTACCGCCAGTACGCCGCTCTCATCAGAGCCACCCATCGCGAGGCCATCATGTTCATCCAGCCGCCCGTCTTTGAGCCGCCCCCCAAGTCCATCTCCCAGGACGACCTCCAGCACCGCGCATGTCTCTCGGGCCACTTTTACGACGGCCTCACCCTCATCACAAAGCACTGGAACTGGTTCAACGCAGATGCCGTCGGCCTCCTCCGCGGCAAATACCCCGGCGTGCTCTTTGCCATCCGCGTCGGCAACAAGGCCATCCGACAGTGCATCCGCGACCAGCTCGGATACCTCCGTCAGGACTGTCTCGACGGCCTCGGTCAATACCCAAGCCTCATCGGCGAGATCGGCATCCCCTACGACCTCGACAACAAAAAGTCCTACTTTGGCGACAACAAGGGCCGAGGCATCGGAGACTATACCGCGCAGACCGCGGCCTTGGATGCATCGCTCAATGCGTGCGATGGCAAGAACCTGCTCAGTTACACCGTATGGACCTACTGCCCCAACAACACCCACGAGTGGGGCGACGACTGGAACGGCGAGGATCTCAGCCTATGGAGTCGAAACGATGTCAAATCTGCCGAACCCGACGACACCCTCGCCACGCCTCGTTCGCGCAAGTCGAGCTCCGCCTCTTCCTCTCAAAGCGCCACCAAGCCCATGGCCAGTCTCACCAGCCTCTCTTCCAGCTCCAGGTCGAGCACAAACTTACCCGAGCTCGTACCGGGAGACGGCGAGTACAATGCTCCCAGCTTGCTCAACGGCCTGCGCGCAGCCTCGGCCTTTTGCAGGCCCTTCCCCGTCGCAACCGTGGGCACGCCGGCGAACATCGAGTTTGACATGAAATCGTCCCAGTTCGAGTACGTCGTCGACGTCACCGCCGCCGAACTACACCACGGACTGCCCACCGAGATCTATCTGCCCTTCCTGCACTATGGCGCGCACGATGTGGCGGCGGCGGCTAGCGGCGATCGCGGCAACCGACGCAAAAGCAGCGGTGCAGCCTCGGACAAATGGGCACGCAAGCAGGAGAGAAAGCTTCGCTCCGCCGACTCGCTCTCGTCGTCTCGCTCGAGCATCACCGACAGTCCAAGTGCAGACGATGCGTCGTCGTCATCAGCCTCCACCGTGCTGGCTGACTCCGCAGAGCTGTCCACCTCGCCCACCCCAGCCTCGTCCGATCTGTTGGCAATCGACGTGGAGGTCTCGGCGGGAACATGGACGGTGCAAGGCCAGTATCTGCACTGGTACATGACCAACGCAGAGGCCATCGCCGACGACGCTTCCAGCCCCGCAGACGGCGTCTTCCGACACTCGATCAAAATCAAACGCTCCGGCGGTCCAGTCAGACTCGATAGGTCCGGAAGCGCCTGGGATATCTTGACCTCCTGCGGCATTCTTTAGTCCTCACTCGCATTCTCGTAGCATTCCACTCGCAAATCGTAGCATCGTAGCATCCAACACAAGGCGCGGTTGAGGGAGTGACAAAGGATCGTGAGAGCGTTTCCACGTGACAGCATTCGCTCGCCAATCGTAGCACTTCGCACGCCGCCCCAAGAAGATGAAAAAGAGTGACAAAGAATTGTGGACATTCCATGGCAAGACAAAGCGCAAAAGGCGTCGGGAAAGTAAAAGAGAGCCAACGACGGTCCCGCAACCCACTCTGGAGCCCAGCTCGGGTGGTGCGGACATCGCGATACAAGCAAAAGCAACGAAGAAATCTAGCAAGGCGAAGGGAAGAACATGCTCTGAAGTGGAGCTTGTGGGAGAAGGATAAGGCGTTCGGGGAGACACGCAGGATTTTAGCGGGGCGGAGGGGACGCAGTCTTGACCCCCGCATCACCATCCGATGCGATGAGCCGACGCCGCAACGATAGCGAGCGAGATTCCTTCCAAAGATACCCGAAGAGAAAAAACAAAGAGACGAGAGCAAAAGAGAGAAAAGTGGTACAGAGGAAAGGGAGGCTGACCCGCAGTATCTAGAGTCCATGGGAGGGAGCGCGCGCGATCACGAGTCGGCCTGCTCCATGATGATCTTGGAGAGGCCGTCGTAGAGGTTGGCGAAGTTGTTGAGGTTGCCGGTGGGGGTGGCGGCGGCGGCGGAAGCGGCGGCAGCAGCCGAGGCGGACGAGGCGGCGGCGGCGGCCGATTTGCTGGCGCGGACGCTGGCGCGCGACTTGGCGGCGGCTTTGGAAGCCGAGGCGCTGGCACGCGCCGCCGCCTTGGTGACGCTGTATACGGAAGCGCGCGAGGCGGCGGCGGATCGCGAGGCGGCCGCGGAGGACGAAGCGGCGGCGGCGGACGAGGAGGCTTCGGCAGCAGCCTGCTGGGCCTGCTGCTGGGCCTTCTTCTTGGCGGCGGCGGCGGCACCGTTGTCGTCGTCGTTGTTGTCGTTGTTGTTGTTGTTGTTGTTGTTGTTGTTGTTGTTGTTGTTGTTGTTGTTGTTGTTGTTGTTGTTATTACCGCCGCCGTTGTTGTTGTTGTTGTTGTTGCTGTTGCCACCCGAGTCTCCGCCGCCCTCGCCTGCGGGCCACCAGGTGATGGGGAAGACGCCCTTGCCGAGGTCAAAGAACTCGGTGAAGAGGCCGACGCTCATGTCGAGGGAGCCGTAGAAGCAGTTTCCTCCGCCGGTGGGGCAAGCGTCCTCTACGGTGGCGGTGGCAGTCTTTTGACCGTTGGAGATGACGATGGTCTTGCCGCACCACGAGGATCGCTGGCCAAGGTCGCCGTACATGGGCTGGTTGAGGGCGACGACGTGCTGTCCGGGGTTGAGGAACTTGCCGCAAGCGCTGGCGAATGTGGAAAAGGTGAGGAAAGGAAAGGAGAGGTTAGTGTGCTGTGTCGATGACACGTGCGAGTTGTAGGGAGTTGGGGGATACGTACCCAGCGTTTCCGGTGCCGACGTCGTACCAGGTGGCCATGCCCGAGTAGGTTGCGCGCTTTGCGATGGCCTGTTCGGCATCGAGGGGCCCCTTGTTGTGGTGGCGTCGGTGGGGCGAGGTGGACGCGTGTGAGGAAGCGAGCGAGCCCGAGACCAGGGCGGCGAGGAGGAGCGTCGCGAAGGCCTTCATCGTGACGGTGGTTGGTGTTGTTTGCAAACGGGATCGACCCAGGACGATGTCGAATGAACAGACAGACGATGCGAGACGAGACGAGACGAGACGAGAAAGAGGTGCGTTGCTGGTAACGAGTGTGGTGATGGTCGTCTATACGAAGAAGCCGGCTGTCGTGGAACGGTTCCGTATAGGAGTGGAATGGAAAAAGGGAGGGGAGAGAGGGGCAGTGGAGAGAGGAGAGTGTGTGTGTGGTGGTTGCGAAGAGGGAGAGGTGAGGAGGCGTCGATGTCCAGGCACCGGTCGCCAGCCAGCCCGCCAGAATGCTACAAAGGGAGGGAGGGCGAGAGAGAGAGGCATCCCGACTGATTCGGCAGGCGGCCGAGGGGGAGCAGCAAGCGCCGAAGCAGCGGCTAGGATGCCAAGGCTCTTGCCCAGTCTGCGCTGGCCGGCTCGGGGTGCGTTTCAGTGTTGGAGGCGCCCGACGCGTCTGATGACTGTCGATCCTGCGGCGGCACATGCAGGCGCCCAATCTCCGACGCACAGCTGGGTGAGGCACAAATGCACCAAAAGGCACTCGAAAAATGCGCACGTCTTCGGTTGCTATGCGAGATGCAGCTTAGAAGTGCAAATCAACGCAGCGCCCTTTTGTAATTGATTCAAGTCAAACCAAACGCCTTTCCGAGGCATGTCCGCCGAGCCACTCAAATGATCAAATGAAGGTTGTAATTTGGTCGAAAGCGTGCGCATTCCTTTGCTCAAGCGCCAGCCATTCGGAGGATCGACGCGTTGCTCTGCCGAAGCAAAGCCATCCGTTGTACCTTTCGCCTGCAGGTCGGCTGCCAAGCAGCAGCTGCACTCCAACGCGTTCTAGCGCCATGCACGCGCTCCTCTCTCTCCCTCTCCCTCTCTCCCTCTCTCTCTCTCTCTTTCTCGCCCGCCAAGACAGGAACCATGCGGTGCATCATCGCCATCCCTGCACGCAAGCCTTCTTTCTTCTTCCACAAATCTCGCGGCGTGCATGCCCGGCGTGTTGTGGTTCCAGCGCCTCCAATGCCGCGCCCTCAATCGCTACACATGGCAAGTCAACAAGATCCCACACACTTCCGCGCCCAGAACGCCCGCAAAAAAAAGGTCAAAAGAAAAGAAAAAAAGATTAGTGACAAGAGTGGGATTCGAACCCACGCCCGAAGATAGCAGGTCACTTCCTGAATGCTCAGGATATCTTCCTTAATGCTACGCCTTAGACCACTCGGCCATCTTGCCTCGATGTTAGTTGAGCCTCACATTGCGTACATATAGCGTTCGCTATTGGCTCCAAGCTTGCAACCAGCAATCGGCTGGCCTCGGCGTCGACACTTCGACCTTGCTGTCACATTAACGACTCTATGCAGATTACTCAGAAAGTATTGATACGATTGTTGTACAGACCAGCGGCGTCAGAGCCGTCATCGAGCTCCACTCGGAGGTACTGCCTGCCAGTGCTTGACGATGCTTTCAAACACCTGCATCACCACCGTCGAGTTGGTCATCAGGCTGTGGCTCGCCCCCTCAACAATATGCAGCTGGCAGTCGCGCATCTCCCTCGCCAAGCTCACCGAGCTCGACAGCGCAATCTTCTCGTCCTTGCTTCCGTGCCACACCTCGCACGCCACACCCAGGTCCGTGTAGTCGAATCCCCACGGACGCTTGCCCAGCACCAGGTTCAGATCGTCCACCAGTCCTCGAGAGCTTTCCGCGTGCGACGCCCGCAGCAGCTCCACCGCACTGTTGCGCTCCGCCTCTTCCCACCTCCCACCTCCGCCATCCGATGCGTACAGCGCGCTGGCAGCCGCGTCCGTCCACGTCGGTGTATCGGCGCCAGACGACGCATGCGACCCTGGGCGTGCTTCCCCAACACCTAGTCGCGGGCTCCTCGGCGCGGGGTCGTCGCCGCCTTGCGCTGGTGGCAGTGTCTTGCTGGCGATCCGTGTTCCCTCCTTTCCAAGCTTCCAATTCTGTATCCGCCATTCCGCCGCCTGCGCCGTCTTGATCACGCCGTCGGGTATGTAGCGGAGCCATCGGTATCCGCTATCCTGCTGCATTCCCGTCCAAGGCGCCAGCAGGTGCACCGGCCCCTGCACACGCTCCGCAAACAGCAACGCCAGCGCCGCCGCAAACGGCCCGCCCGCACTGTGCGCCACCACGGCGTACTTTCCAAGCCCCAGCAGATCCGCCACTTGCTCCACCACAAAACTCCAGCCCAAGATGCTTCGGCTCTCGGGAGCAATGTGATCCGTGCGTCCGATCCCCCACCGATCGATGCACACCAGCCGCAATCCGAACAACGTCGCCAGATCATCGTAAAGGCCAATCAGGTGCCGAGATGCCCCCAGCCCTAGAAACACCATCACGGGATGCCCACTCGGCAGCCCAACATCAGCGAACGACACTTGCAGTTGCCGTGACCCAGCCATGTTGATCATGGCCACGTGGCTCAGGCCCTTGCAGTTTGTGCCCGCAGCATCGCTCTTGCTGTCTCGAGTGGGCGGACGCCTTGGCTGTCTGTACTTTGTGCTGTCACCAGCAAGGGAAGCTTGGCGTTCGGTACTTGGGCCTGCACTTGCATGTTTGCCTCGAATGCGGAGCTGCGACAGCCCGCTCTCGATCTCGTCCACTTGCGTCCCCCTCAGGATCGAACGAGCCTCTTGCTCTATCGAGTCCTCGGAACGAGACGATTCCGAGTCCGAGTCCGCCTCGGAGCGACGCGCTCTCCTGGCAGCCTCCGGCGATGTTCGCGCGTCGAGCTCGAATGCAGACCACGAGGCTGAGCGTTGCGGAGCGCGCTGAAGCGGCGGTACGGACAGCAGACTGCTCGAGTGTGTTCGGACTATCTCGTCGATCGACTTGACAGGTTCCTGCACTGCGGGATGTGGGCGAGCCCGCCCTAGTGCGATCGAGGATGCAGCATATGTGCTCGAAACCGACCGTCTGGAAGGATCGGCAGCTTGCGCTTTGGCTACCGATGGCTTGCTTGCGTGACTCTCGTGATGTGCGACGAGCGTGGCTCTGGGCACGTACGGCCCTGTCCGTTTCCTTTCCGGGTATCGATCATAGTAGCTCTTCCCTCCGAGTCCAGCGTCGTACGAGCTTTGTCCAGTGGCGCGTGATTGCTGGCGATGGTCACCATATGTGTCAGACGAGCTCGTACTGGATGAAGCGGTAGTGGCCCGCGACGAGACGCTACGTCGCATGGTCTGTGTCCCCTCGCGATGATCTCGTTGGGATTAGCTTTGATAGCTCGGTGGCGCAGACGATGCTCTAGCAAGACCGATGCATGGCGAGGGGCGATCGCTGTGCTGCCGAGAGATTTGTGCAGCGTCGTCGATCGCACCAGCTGCGAGCATGCCTACCACGCGAGGTTGATGGGATGCGAGCGCCAGACGGAGGTAGGGTAAGAGGACAATTCATCAACTCATGCACGTTCGGCCCTGGCTGACCCTGCAACCTAAGTACACCTCCGCACCGATTCCGGGACACGGAGGCGGGTCGCACAAAAATCCTCGACCTCGCGAGTCCGAGCGGTCTAACAACGTTGACGATTTTCTCGGGGGGCGTCGTTGCTGATGCTCGGCGTGACCAAGCATGCTTGCGAAATGCCGTAGCCTGCTGACTCGTGCAGATCGACCGATGAGACCCAGCGCAAGAGAAAAGCGATTGGTGTACTCGCCCAGAGGTGCGGGACAAGCAGATCACCACCCCAGGCCATGGTTGTTGGGTCGCTGCCTACGGTGCAAAGCGCGCCTGTGCACGCAGTAGGAAGTCGCAACTCATGACTAAATGCACACATGACTTCCAATGGCGCTGCAAGTACCGCGCAACGTGGCTCGCATACATTCGCCTCATGTCTCTGAGGCTACACTTGCGCCTCCGATGCGTTTTACAGAGCATCGGCATTCGCGTGGAGGAGCCTGCATCCTGAGCAACCATGAGCAAAGCCGCGGTCTTCGTATCGAATCATGAATCACATTCCAACAAAACGGTCGCTGTCGGCGAGCATCCTGGTAGCAGCCAGCTAGCATTCAGTCACACGCGTTCGAGTGTCGGTTGTCTGGCTCACGCTGACCTGGCTGATGCCTGGCTGGTATTCGACAGTCCGCATTCATGATCTCTTCAGGACATCAATGAGATTGAGGGATGAGGAGCCATGAACTGCACCCATCAGCAATGCTTCGAGCCCGGCTCCGCATCCTCCTCGAGTAGAGCAACGACACCAAACGTATAACGAGTAGCCGGTCTCTTCTCGATCGGTGGCAGACTTGCTTTGTCTCGCATCATCATGCAGATCTTGTGTCTTTCGGCGGTAAGTCAGCCACAGGTTTCAATCATTCAAGATTCCTGAATCCTGATTCGTTGTTCTTGATTACCGTTACCTCATATTTCGTTCCTCGCTCCTCGTTCCTCGCTCCTCGTTCCTTGTTCCTCGTACCTTGTTCCTTGTTCCTGTCGACTGATTTGCACTTGCGTTCATGGATTCGCAACCCCACGTCCCATCATGCATCGTACAGGCTGCACGACTTGCGGAGACTAGTGCCGGGACAGACAGACGTCTCCATTCATCCTGGCATACCTCATGCTCCATCGTCGGCTCCGCGCACGAGGCCAACCACGGCCGGGGATGAGTCGGTGAATCGATGTCGATTCATGATCTGTGGTCAGTGATCCGTGATTGACCTCTTGCCAGCATGACGATGCTCGAAGCTGGCTGCTTCTCTTGGCGGCGTGGTTGCAGTCGCGATTAATGATCCATGATTTGTGCCCCACCCCCCCCCTCCCCCGCATGCAAACTAGCGTTTGGCTTCACAAACAGGCATAAGGTCGACTATATCGTGCAACGTGCATCAGTACAAGCTCCCGGGTGTGTGAGACTTCCCGTCCACGATATATGCGAGTAGGCGGGACGTCATCTGTGGATAGCTGCATATGACAACACACCATTCTGTGGGGCACGCTATTTGGCTCGTGACTGACATCTTGTT